ATAATTGAAGTGTAAGAATCCCAAGAAATAGGTCCCCAAGAGGGAATATTGTTTACAGCATTCCCCTAACTTACGTGGAGGGCCACCCTGTTCATACAGTTTTATTTATTTTTTTATTTTATTAATTTTTTTACAGCGAGGAAGGGAGATTTCTGCAACCTGAAGTTTCCAGGTCAAAGGTGGAGGCAGAAGCTCGACGCAGACTGATTTGAGAAGCTATTGGAGTTAGTATGGAAACAAAGTTTTGATGTGAAGGGGAGCAAGAAAACGGAGAGGTGGCTGGCGGAAATGTAGGATCAAGGAGATTTTTGTTAAAACTTTTTTTTAAACATGAGATATTGTGGCATGTTATTTCCAGAAGGTGGGGATAATCCAATCTAGAGGGGGACATTGGTGACTAAGGAAAGAGGATGCAGAGTGTCATGGAGGGGTTGGTTCTGATAGGTGCACAGAACCTTCATTCACTGTAAGAGTAGGGAAGGCAGAGAACTTGGGCGAGGTGCAGAGTTGTTGGTAGGTGAGAGGGTCCTGTCTGATGGGTTCTGTTATCTCTGACGTAAGAGGCAAGCTCGCCGAAACCGGTTTGGCTCAATGGATAGAGTGTCGGCTTGGGGACTGAAAGGTCCCAGGTTTGATTCCGGTCAAGGGCATGTACCTTGGTTGCGGGCACATTCCCAGTAGGGGGTGTGCAAGAGGCAGCTGATTAATGACTCTCATTGATGTTTCTGACTATCTCTTTCCCTTCCTCTCTGTACAAAAAACCAATAAAATATATTTAAAAAAAGAAAAAGAAAAAAAGAAAAGAGGCAAGCTCATCTGCTCAGAGTGAAGATGAGAAGAGACAAAGGAGGAAGAGTGAAAAATCATCCTCGTGGAGTGTGAGGAATTGAATACAGCAGGGAAATTTGTGGTCAGTAATTTAAAGTGATTCTAGTCACTTAATTCCCAGCCATGTTTGTATATTCTGACTTAAGCATAGAGTAGGAGATTGGCTGGTCTTCACTATGTTAGTCAAGTTAGAAGGGATGGAACAAAAGGGTAATGGGTTTTTGCAAGGAAGTGAGTATAATGATCATTACTAAGCTGGTTAGGAGGGAAGTGAGCACAAGGGGGGAGAGAAAGGTGAAAATCTGGCAGGTCAGGGTTTGCAGGTCTTGATGAGGTTGAAAAAATGCCTGCGTGTGATATTGCAACAAGGGGGCTAACGTTGGATTTGAGATCTTTACAATTGTGCTTCCTGAGAGTGTGCAATTATAGGAGAGGGCATCTGAAGACAGGAGAAGGGAAAACTCATTGGTAGGGAAGAAATGAATAAGGGAGAAATCAGTAAGATTTCTGACAGATTATGCTTATGGAGGTTGAAATCATAAAGTAAGGTACAGGAGGTGGGAAAATACGATAGTGAGAACTTGAAGGGGATTGGGTCTTTGAAAGTGGAAGGGAGGAGAAACAATACTAAAACTATTTATGGTGCTTGCCTGCTTGTAGGCAGTCATGTTTAATGTCACATGGCCCTAGGCTCATAGCAATAGTGGACTGGTCAAGGGATGAGCTCTGACCTATGGGCAGCCAATCTGTGGACGTGAGCTGTCAACGCTAAGAGTTCATAGAATTCTGTCTTGAGATCTGAATTATGAAACAAAAAGAATTTGCCAGTTGATATAGCCAGTTGATGCAGAGAATAAGAGGACAAAGGTCACCTGGATGGACCTTACACAGGCTGGAATGTCGAGGGAATAGGGTTGAAAACTGAAGATGCCAGAGAGGAAGAATGTATCAGATGCATCAAAAGAAGCAGAAGGAAAGGAAGAATGTAGCAGATGTATCAAAAGAAGCAGAAGGAAAGGAAGAATGTAGCAGTTGCATCAAAAGAAGCAGAAAGAAAGGAAGAACGTAGCAGATGCATCAAAAGTAGCAGAAATGGGAGTAGCCATGCTGGGTTAGTTCCTGAGTCCTCTTCTTAGGAGGTAACAACTTTCAAAGGTTTTTGAGCAGAGAAGCAACATAAACAAATCTGGGATTAGGAGTGTAGCCTCTGATCCCAGACATGCCTGGCTTTGAAAGCATTAACTTTGTGATCTTGGGCAAGTTACTTAACCTTTCTGTACCTCAGTTCCCTCATCTGTACAGTGGGAATTATAGCACTGCCCTCATAGGGTTGTAGCGAGGATCACACGAGAAAATACACGTAATGCATTTTGAACAAGGCTTCCTTTCAATCTTATTTTCTTCAGTTTAACAGTTCAAGTGTCGCTTCTTTCTCAAACTTTCCCTCATGCCCTTATTTATCCCTTGGCTTCCAGGAGGGACACCCTCTTTTCTTGGTCCTCCTTCTCCGTTGCCTTGCTGGTTCCTCTTTATCTTCTTGATCTCTTCTCTCTACACTCACCTCCTAAATGAGCTCACCTGGTTGTTTTATACTCTTCAGTACTTTAAACTATCATTTATTAGCTGAGAGTTCTCATAAGTTTATCACCAACTCCAACTTCTTCCCCCAACTCCAGGCTTCCACGATTTCTTATTTGGATTCTCCATTTTAACTTCCAGAGGCAATTTCAAACATAGTTTCCCCCAAACTGACTCTTATGCTACCCTGCCCCGCCCCCCCCCCCAAAAAAAATCCGTTTCTCCTATAATCTTCCACAATCAATAAATGGTAAATTCTCCCAATGTTGAACAAGCTAAGGATCTTAGTATCATTCTTTTTTTTTTTTTAAAGTTTTTATTTTTTTATTTTTATTTATTTTTTAAATATACTTTATTGATTTTACACAGAGAGGAATTGAAAGGGACAGAGAGTTAGAAACATCGATGAGAGAGAAACATCGACCAGCCGCCTCTTGCACACCCCTCACTGAGGATGTGCCCGCAACCAAGATACATGCCCCTGACCGGAATCGAACCCGGGACCTTTCAGTCCGCAGGCCGACGCTCTATCCACTGAGCCAAACCAGTCCCGGCTTAGTATCATTCTTGACTCATTTTCATGCCCACTGCCAATCCACCAGCAAAAACCCAGAATGTGGTCTCTTCGTGCCACCTCCATGTTACTGCCCTGATAAAAGCACCTTTGTCTCTCTGCTGTGTGGCCTTGGGTTACCTCTTCGGCTTTCCTTTGTGAGAATTAAATAAGTTATTACCTGTAAAGCGGTCAACAGTGCCTATCACATAGGAAGCCCCATTAAGTGCTTTTCAAATAAATAAAACATGCCTTGCACACAGAACTAGCTCTCTCACAGCCCTAGTCCCCCTACAGTCCATTCAGAACACAGCAGCCTCCTGATCCTTTAAAAGCCCAGGGCAGAGTCCCCCTGCTGCTCTCTGCACCTCTCTGAGTGGTTCCCACCCTCTCCCCTTGCTCAATCTGGGACAGCCACCTTGTCCCATCAGACTGTCCCCATCGGGTGTTTGCCCTTGCTTGTGGCTCCTTCTGATTAAATATTACTATGTTAGGCCTCCTCTTAATCTGATTTTTCGCCACGTCTCCAATCACCTGACACTCTTATCTATTTATAGTAGTTGATTGTCTCCCCTGCAATATTCGAGATCTGCAACAATGACTGTCTTTCTTGTTCATTACTTTATCCCTAGAGCCTCCTACTTGTATACAGTAGGCACTCAATACTTACTAAGTGAAAAGAATCCCTTCTCTGAATTCCCCAAAACAGGTCTGAATCATTCTTGTGGGACTTATATCACCAAGTTAGTGGCAGGTTGTATTCTACTGAGTTCTCCGTGTTAGCAGAGAGTGCTAGGACATGGTAATCATTCCTGCCGTTTATGCAACACTACAATTTACAATCCCCTCATAGGTGACCGGATTTGATTCTCAGAAGAGAGCAAGCTAGGGAGAGTAGGGTTAGCATCCCCGGTCTCCTGCCTTCTAGAATGAGCTCAACAAATATCTATTGAATGAAGAGGGGGAAACTAAAATATCCAAATCATTCCGTGGAGGCAGCCCTACTGGACAAATGGGCTGGTTCTCTGTAGCACGTGTAAAAATACAACACGGAACATTTATTGAGCCCAGTTTTCTGATCATTTTCTGTCATCCTCACAGCTATCCTGTAGCTGGTAGCTAAAAGGACATTTTTATGTCTTGTTCACCTTTTATCTCTAGGTGTCTCAAACAAGGCCTGGTATATAGTAAGTGCTCAAGGCTCTTTCTTGTTATTATTACCTTAAATTCTCACCTGAGGGTATTTTTTTCCCATTGATTTCTAGAGGGTGGAGGCAGAGAGAGAGTGAGAAACATCGACCTGGGAGAGACACGCAGATTGGTTGCCTCCCCCACGTGCCCCTACTGGGGCTGGGGAACCTGCAACCGAGATACATGCCCTTGACAGAGCATCGAACCCCTGACCCTTCGGTCTGACGTTCTAACCATTGAAACAAACTGGCCATGGTCCAAGGCTTTTTAAAGAGATCGGGGCTCAGGGGCAGCGACTTGCTCCAGGTCCCACACGTAGCAGCACCGGCTTTCCATTTCAGGTTCACTCACTACACTCTCTCTGGGCTGGGCAGGGCAGGGCAGGGCAGGGCCGGGCCGGCGGATGGCACCAGTTCCGGGTCCGCCGCGGGAGTGAGCGCGTGTCCCGGGTGGGGCGGGGCGGGACTGACCCCTCCCAGCCCCAGCGCCTTCCGCATCCGCGCTCGGGAGGACGGCGGGCACGGGTCCTCCGAGGCCGCCCGCTCCCGCAGCCCCGGGGCGGGCGGTCGGGTCTGGGTGCGGGCGTCAGTCCCCTCCCGGTGCCAGCTCCAGCGCGGACCGGGCCGCCACGCGGGGCACCCACCGAGCGCGGCCCGCCCACCCCGCCGGCCGCCGCGCCCGGCCCCGCCCGCAGGCCCCGCCCCCGCAGGCCCCGCCCCTCACTTCCCCGCTCGGCGCCCCGCCCCCCCGCGCCGCGCTCCATACTTGGCGATCGCCGCGGCCCTGCGCGCTCATTGGCCGAGAGCCGGCTGCGTGGGGGCGGGCCCGGGCCCGGCCGGGGCGGGGAAGGATGGTGGCGGCGGCCCGGCGCAGGGGGGAGGGGGGCGCTGACCCGGATGTTCACTCCTGGGCACCCGGGGAAGTGGAAGCGCCGGGCCCTGCTGCTGGGGGGAGAGCCACAGACGCCGGGACCGGGACCGCCGCCGCCGCCGCCGCCATGGTAAAAGCCCGACGCCGGCCTCCCCCCGCCCCCGGGCCCCTGCCGGAGCTCCCGGCCCCTTCCCCGCGCCGAACCCGGTCTGTGGAGGGTGGGTTCTCCCGGGTGGGGGAGGGGCGGGGTCCCGGACCTCAGGTGGACACACCATCCCCGCCGGCTCCGGAGGGGCCGCCGGCCCGGGCGGCTCGGTGGGCAGCGCGACCCTGCCGCCCCTCCCAGTCCCCGCCCTTGGGCGTCCCACGCTCCACCTCGGGGTCCAGGCTGGTCTCCTCCGTAGCTCACCCTGGATTCTCCTGGACCCCGGGCCAGGCACCCTCTCCCATGACCCAGGCGTGCACTTCCCTCCTCCTCTCCATGGCCTGGGCTAGGTCCCCATTCCTCTTCCCTGTAGTCTGGGCTAGGCCGTCGTTTCTCCCTCCCGTGGCCCAGGCCAGGCCTCTGTCGCCATCCTCTGTGGCCTCAGTCCGGACCCCGTCAACTCCTCCAGTGGCCTCAGCCTGTACTTGTTTCCTCTCCTCCAAGCTTCAGCCTGAATCTTCTTTTCTCTCTCTGCTCACTCGTCTGGTCCTCCTCCTCCTCCTCCTCCGCCCATGCCTCCGCTTGGACGTCACCCCACCCCACCCCCCATGATCCCCTCTCCAGGACTTCTCACCAGTCTTGAGAGTTGCCCTCGCCAGCCCCCTCTGTCCTAGGGTTACCCCTCCCTCCAAGGCCCTGCTCCCTGCCCTGCCCCCGGCCCAGGTGGTCCCCCCTTCCCTTTCTATGCCATCTCTGGGAGGCGAGGGGAACTCTCCAGCCCGGAGTGGGGAGGGGGGTGGTCCCGGGGTTGTGCTTACTCAGGTTCGAGGGTTGCCCCGTCTGGGAGGGAGCGGAGGAAGGGCGGGCATCTGTGCCCGGAAGGCAGCGCGGCGCTTTGCGGGCCCTTCCGCGGGCGCGGCGCTTGCAGAGGGTCCAGCCGGCGGCCGGGCCTGAGTGAGCGGAGGGTGAGGGTGGGGGAGCCGACGGGACAGGGGTGAACGCACAATCCCCCTTGTGATGAGGCCGCAGCCCTGGGGGAAGCCGGCGGGCCCCGAGGGTCGGGGCAACATACGGCCTGGACACTATGCACGCCAGCAGGCGCAGCCTCCCTTTCCCCCTGAACTGTCAGCTCGTCAGGGTCGGAACTGCTGATTATGGAGGTGTCTTGGATCAGGTGAGCTGGTCTCGGAAGGAGAAGCTAGCTCCACTCGTGGTGTTTGTTTTGGTAATGAAGGCGGGCGCTCTCTGGGCGCTCTGGCTGGCCGGGTGGTTTCACACGGGCTCGCCCATGTGCACCTGCTCTCCTGTCCGCTTGGCAGCCTCGTGCAGAGCGGGCCCAGCACCTCGGCTGGAAGGGCCGGAGGGCTTCTGCCTCACATGGCCAAGGAGCTTTGGGAGAGGGCACCGTCAGGGCTCTGTCCACCTGCTCCTCCCACCCAGGCGGGGCAGATATTTGCATGTGGACTTTGGGCTCCAAAGGGCTTTGAGGATATTGGTTCCTTGTTTAATTAAGGGATGTTGCTGTTAAACTAGGATGACTAATTCAGACTGTCCAAGTTTTTTTCCTTATGCCTTTATTTATTCCTTATGCCTTTATTTATTCCTTATTTATTTATTCCTTATGCTTTCCTTATTCATTAAAAACGTGGCCGATGCCATTTTCCATGCTGTTGGACTTCTCTTCATTGGCGAAGAACTGGCTGCAGGGGGTGGTGGCCCAGCCCTAGGCCTGTGTGGAGAAAGGCCCTTCTTAACAGAGTTGGGTGAGGACTTTAAAAGTGGAGTGAGGTTTTGTAAATTTTTCTTAGGACAAAAGCCGGGGAGAGTGGGTGGGGTTGCCAGGTGGGGCTACTCAGAGCTGGGAGGGGCATCTTGCCTTAGCCCTGGGTGCCAGATCCTCCAAATGTGATGGGAAAATGCCCTTACATGACCCCGGAGGCTTCTCCAGAGGTCCGTGTTGGGTCTTGTTTGGACATTCTGCAAAGACTGTGGGAGGGGTGGAGGGAAAGGGCTCCCATATCTTGGGGGGCTATAAGCTTCATCTATATCAGTTCACTTAATCCACATAGAGCCCTCTGAGGAACTGCTGTTTCCTTTTTACAGGAAAAGGGTTGGATAACGTAATCAAGGTGCTGCTCAGTCAGTGGAAGTACTCTAAAGCTGGCAGGCTCTAACTTTATCCTTCCCGTTGTCCCAGGCGGCTTCCGTGTGGGAAGATATAAAGAATGCTGTTTAGAAAACATAATAATGGGGTGCTCAGAGATGCTGCATTTACCGTCCTCTACTCTACCAACTGAGCTATTGAGGGAGGCACAGGAACAGTTATTGACTGTGGATTGTGTGCTCGGTCCTTTGCACGGGGACCTCGTTTAATAGTGAAAGTAGTACGGTGATGCAGGCACAGTTAGCTGGGGCCAGAACGGGAGCTCTTTGAGGGTAGGGATTTTTGGCTGTGTTTTCTATCCCTGGCACCGAAGGAAGTGGCTTAGAGTGCTCTTTTTTGGGGGAGTGTCTATGTCCATGAACTTAGTCTCTTGGGGTTCATACTCATCCTTTCAATGACTTGTTCTTAGTACAGCCCTCGGTGGATACTAAGTAATTTCTGACTGTTTATTGTCAAATTTATCCTCTACCAGAATACACCGACATAAACTGTGTAGACAGGTGGGATAGGACAGAAGTGGGGGTATGGGGTTGCAGCATAGGTAAATGAATTAAGAACACTGTGGGTTTTTTTTTTTTAATATCTTTTTATTTTATTGATTTTTCAGAGAGGAAGAGAGAGGGATAGAGAGTTAGAAACATCAATGAGAGCGAATCATTGATCAGCGCCTCTTGCACATCCCCTACTGGGGATGTGCCCACAACCAAGGTACATGCCCTTGACCGGAATTGAACCCGGGACCTTTCAGTCTGCAGGCCGACGCTCTATCCACTGAGCCAAACCGGTCCCGGCAGAACACTGTGGTTTTTAAATGAAGAGCAAATAGCTAGATTTCCATTATCCATGGAGGAAAATAGCGGTTTGAGAATCTGAAATGCATTGGACTTTGGAGTAAATTCCATGATTCTTATTGGCATCAGTTAAGAATGCATAGGCAAATGGAATTTATATGCATTCTCTTAGCAGGTGGTAATCTTACCACTGTAAGTGCTTTATAGTTTAAAGCATTTTTCCTTACACAGCTCTAGGTTCTAACTTAGGAATTATTCTAACTTGGGAGTTCTGATTCTGGTACTGGTGGTGGGGTTGTCCCTGGGAAGGGGCAGGTGAGGCCCCCTTATGAGTTGGCTCTCTGACTAACAGATGGTTTTGCCTGACAGAAGCTGATAGGTGATGCCTGTCATATTATTACAAAGTGAAACAGTATAGTTAACACTAATGTGTCTTGGCTGGTCTCCTGGTATGGGTAGATACATCCCTCATGGATATATACAGCCCTGTTCATTTAAGTCATTGGCCTCTGTTTGGTGGAATGTTTGAAAAAGTAGCCAACGATTGATAGTTTGAGATTAAGGAGGTGATAAATCATACATCCAAAAGCAGATATTCTTGTTTATAACTTGGAAGTCCTGTATTTCTCTTACTTTCTGTGGGGAAGGGAGGGGACAGATGACTGATAGCACAGAGAAATGGCTGGGGAGGTGCATTGACCATTGAGACGCCCATTTCCCAGTTGGGGAAATGTTTGCTGTTAGGCAAATGCAAGTTAGCAATTGCAGAAGTGTGTTGGGGCTACTTGAAGCTACAGGATGGCATTAACTCACCATGTATTTCTCTGTGCTGCTTTATGTGCTGAGGACACAGTGATGAGCAAGACAGGCAAGTGTCTGTGCCCTCACAGCTTCGATTACTGGGGGTGAAGGAGGGGCACATTTCATATGCCTGCAGTCTAAGGAGGAAGAGCCTTGTTTAATGTAATTATAAGCACACCTGTGTGAGATATGGCAGGAGACTTAAGAGAAAGTTGGGGCTTGCACCAGGCTTCACTCCCAGATCTTTTGGAGCGGTTCCTGCCCTCGTCTCTGCCATCACTGGGGAAGTGGATTGCAGTGCACATCATCCGTTCCTCTGCAGAACAGAAACTCTCCCATCCACGAAGTCCTACCCTTCTAACCTAGGTAGCTACCATTGACAGAGGGTCTATTGTGACCCAGAAACGTGACTAGGTTATACCTTATCCTCCGTTTTACTTACAAGGAACCTGAAGCTCGAGTGAGAAGTTGAGTGACCAGTATGAATGGCAGGCTGGGACGCAGATCTGGTTCCACCTGACACCTGTGTGGACGCTCACTGCGTTCCTCAGAAACAATGAGCCCGGGCTGTAGGGGTACAGGATTTTGTCCCATTTCTCCTTGCAGCTGATCCCAAGGAAAGTAGGGTGCAGAAGCCCCAAAGGATGCAATGGCAAGATCACTTGTAGTAGGACCAGCTAGAGCAATGCTATTTCCAAACCTGGCCTTTACAGGTTAATGCTTCGGTGTAAGGAGGTGGACATGACGTTTGTATAATACCAGGTATGTGCCATGCACTGCACTAGGAGCTTTAGCTTAGTGCAGTGGTTGGCAAACTCATTAGTCAACAGAGCGGTAAACCGAGGCTCGTGAGCCGCAGTTTGCCTACTACCTAGTGTGTCCTCCTGCAATAGCCTGGCCATCAGGGTCCAGTATAATTTAGGAGGGAGGCAGCATAATTTAAGAAGTTAGGACTTAGGAGCCAGACTGACTGCCTTGGGATAATAGTACCTCCTAATAAGGCTTTTGTGAGGATTAAATGAGATAATAATGCATGTCAAGTACTTCAAACAACATCTGGCACATAATTATGTGAGTATTAACTATTATTCTCATCACCATTTTACAGATGTGGTTCAAAGGGGTATGTGGTTAGTCCCTCTAATAGCTACTAAGCGGAGGAACTGGGTTTTCTGACTCCGGAGCTAGTCCCCTTTCCTCCACTCCTTACTGCTTACTGAAGGCTTATT